CACAAGGGTTACTTGGCCACATCTGGTATCTCTTTTAAGGAACAGTGCCTTGTGGACCCCATATGTAACTGTGCTCCTATGCAGGGAGAGATCCCAGGTAGGCACTGAACTCCCAGGGAATAAGAGCAAGGCAGGAAGTTGAGCCCGTTTTCCTGTGTGGGGACTCTCCTTTGATGGCTGCRCTTCGACTTTAGGATTTGATATTATAAAGGAACAAATGGCTTCCTTACAGGTGTTTGAAGCTGTGCATCAAGACTCCTTTTCTCATCTCTGGAACACCCTACACTTCTTTCACGTCTTCTCCTGTACAGGAAATGCATCTTCAGTTCTTAAACTTTTTATAACTGTAAGATTTCCAAATCATTTACTGTATTGGTTAGTTTCTTTAGGAAATTAGCCTGATAGCTGTGATTTTTTTTTTTTAAATACTGAGGAATGGAATCCAGAGGCACTCTCTAGCTGAGCTACATCCCTTGCCCTTTGTATTTTTTTTTTTTTTTTTATTTTGAAACAGTTTGTAAGTGTTGAACTTAGGATCCTCCTACTTTAGCTCCAGTGCATTTGAGTTTCCAGGCTTGTAATGCCATGCCCAGCATGACACCTGTAATTTCTACATGGTTCATATAAGAAATTTCTGAATCACAATATATTTTGGCAGACAAGCCCAGACTGTAGGTACTTACTAGACCCTATTTATTGGACACTTCATCTAGGTTCAGAGGTGAGCTGGTGAAGTGATGTCTCTGTTCAGGCKACATTGGAACACTTTTTGTTTACACGTGTGCCCTGAGACCTCTGAGTGGTGATTCATGCTGCACCCTCTGCTCAATGTGTATTTTAATGTGTAAAAAGAGTTAGCACATTAATAAAAATATTTAGTGAACATCATCTGGGAATCTAAGAAATGGTAATGCCATCTCAGCTACTGTTTCTAAGTTAGAGATGTTGGTTTTTCTTTGAATTCATTTAATCCACATTACAAATAACTTACTGAGTGTCCACCATATGTCAGAGGGTCTGTGTTACTTGACTCAGGAAATACAGAATGAATGTGACCCAGCTTTTGCCCTCAGTAAACTTGTAGACTCTTAAGGAGATTGCACATCTACCTGCCCAACGTAAATTCCCTAAGAGAGAACTGCATCTCATAGGGAGGAATAAGGAAGATATCTTAAAGTAAGAAAATTATATTAGGATAAGATTACAGGCACAGATTGTGTTAAYTGTAGTCTTTCCAGTGATAGGAAGTAGAGATGTGCTGTTTCTTGTCCTGCCTCAATGAGTGAGGTTTGTTGAATGCACCACAGGAAGTGGGAAGRACAGGAAACCAGTCTCAGCAGCCACCCAGGGAGGCCTCATGGAGAAACAGATAGTTCTCTGGTGGCGTGAGAGCCCCTCTGTCATCTCACCACAAGTCAATGCCTATTTCCTTCTCCAGTGATCTTCACTGTGGACACTCGGCTCCTCTCAATGGCAAAGGCAGCGTGTATATGATTCCCCATTGCACTTCTCAGGAGAGAAAAAAATCGTTTTGGCTAATCTACATTCAACAATGAGCACCTCTGCTGGGCAAAGCTCATGGCAGCGGCCTCTTAGGCAGTTTGCCAACGTGCCAACCAGAGGATACATGTTTTTTGGCCTTTCCTGATTCAATAAATTGTGTACAAGACAAAACCATGGATCACTTGGTATAGAAGAGTGTATTTCAGACATCAGCATGCATATGAATCCCCTGAGGACCTTGTGGAAATGTGCACTCTTGATTCAGTGGCTGTGAGATTTCAGGAATTCTCTGTTTCTAACGAGCTCTTAAGCAATGCTGATGTTTGTTGCCTCTTCTCCTGCTTCTGTATGAATATGACTATGCAGAAGGCAAGCACTCCATGTGGCAGACTTGTGGTTGTGAGGTGGCATTTCATGAGGGGAATAACTGTGAATAAAAGCGTGGAGGAAGGTGTGGTGTTGAGGTCTATGTGTGTTTACATAAGGCCAATTTGGAATATAGTTAAGGTCAATAAGGCGTCTTTAGACCAAAAAGTCAGTATTGAAACAATTCAGATATAGTTTCTAAATACCAATGTTGTTTAGGTTGGCAGTTAGTCTTTTCATAATTTTAATCCAAAGCATGGTAAGCAGCTGAGTATGAATTTTCCTTATTCATATTCACTTGAGAGCTTGCTGCATGACTCCTGTCAGTTTGTCACTAGTTCTGTTTTGTTGGTGAGAAGGGTGGTAGGACATGCAGTAGGACATTTATCACAAGCAGTTGGGAGCCACCATGCCTGGTTTAGACACCAAGTGTCAGATTCCTTCATTCTGGTACCTTGGGAGAATTGCACACTTCTCATTATCTTTGTTGGAGATCCAAAGACGTGAGTTCAAYATTTGTTCACAAGGATCCTTGAACCATAATAATGTCTGATATTCATAGAATGAGTCCATTTCAAAGTTTTATTTCTACTCATTTCATAAATAAAATCTAAGACTGATTAAAAAAMCAAAGAGGCCTTTTACACTTTTATTTAATGATACTAGAGCCCAGCAATTTCAAATCATGGATTATATCTAATAGAAGAGAACTAAATTAAGTATTCAAGTCCTCCTGACATATTGGCAGGTACAGGAGGAAAAATGATGTCATTTTTTTYCCTTTGCATTTCATTCACTGTCTTCAGAAGGAAGGCTCCATTGATAGTGACATCTGTTCTTCAGTGTTCAATGACATAAGGGAATAAACATAATATTTTATTTTCTGAAACACACACATTCCAACTCATTCTTCTTTGAAAAATGACTTATTTTAATATTCGTGGTCAATAAAGGCAAAAACAGTTATTTTAAATAACTGAATCATGAGATCTTTTTTTTCTATCCAAGGAAACTTCCAATTTTTATGAAAATCTTGAAAAGGATTTTCATAGTTCACCTTTCATTGGGATTCATGTATAATTTTGAATTACTGAATAGTTTAACCACTTAACAATCTTTGACTGCTATGTTTTAAGTTGTCAGTTATTAAAGAAGGAACACTACTGAGTGTGAGCAAGTGTTTCTGCACAGTTAGAAAGTGCTGACTTTGGAGTCAGATAAATGTATATTTAAATCTCTTCTTAACACATACCTGCTATGTTACCTTCATACTTACTTTGTAGGATTATCTTGAAGATAAAAAAAAATATTGCATAATATTTCCGTTTAACARAATTTTTTTAAAAAGACATGAAGATTTTTAATTTAATGACAAATTCTATTATTTTATCCAAAGTTAAAAACAGAAGTACTTTTGCATTTTCACATTTGTGTAGGAAAGCATTATTTATTCTTGACGTAAGTGAAAACTTCAGTGCTTTGAGTTATAAACAGAAGAGCTGTGATTGTAATTGTCAGTTAATTTATGTAGTGGAATCTCCATTATCAAAACGTGGTGATCCAAAGAAGTAAGTGGTGATATTGTGCAYAGTTTACCAAAAGAAATTCAAATTGGTCTTCAAAACATTAGTACATTCACCCATGCTGCAGTGTCCTAATATGCAGGAGCCTAGAGAAGAAAAGTTATAAATGTCATTCACTTTCATGCATTCATTCAAAGTGATAATTCATTTTAATCAAATGAGGCTGGGGAAAGTCTATTATGTCTATATGAATATATATATATATATATATATATATATATATATATAGAGAGAGAGAGAGAGAGAGAGAGAGAGAGACACTATAAATACTCTGTGAGGGTGGCATACTCCACTGCCATTCAGGTAAAGGAAGGCAGATAAAACATTTCCATGTCAAGTGGAAGACAAATATTTTCAATGAACATGTACACAGATGCTCATATACACCTCCACATAGTGAAAATATGAAGACCTCTTTTTTTTATTTATATATGACAGTGGAATGCATTACAATTCTTATTACTCATATATAGCACAATTTTTCATCTCTGGTTGTATACGTAGTATATGCACACCAATTCGTGTCTTCACTTCATTATTACTTTGGTAATAATGATCATCATATTCCACCATATTAATAATTTCATACCACCTCCCTTCCCCTCCAAACCCTCTGCCCWATTTGAAGTTTGTCTATTCMTCCCATGCTCCTGCTCCCTATCCCACTATTAATCAGCCTCCTTGTGTCAGAGAAAACATTCAGCATTTGGTTTTGGGGGATTGGCTAACTTCACTTAGCATTATCTTCTCTAACTCCATCCATTTACCTGCAAATACCATTATTTTTTCTCTTTTATTGCTGAGTAATATTCCATTGGTATATATGCTACATTTTTTTATCCATTCATCTGTTGAAGAGCATATAGTTTGGTTCCACAGTTTAGCTATTGTGAATTGTGCTGCTATAAACATTGATATGGCATGAAGACCTCTTTTTGATGGTTTCCTCAATACAAGCCACAGGGTCACTATATTGACACATTTCTAATTATTTTATTCTTTGCATTATTTTTATAGCTAGCCTTCCTTATATTGGAAGCAAACCAAGGGTACCCATTATTTTGGATGCTGCTTCACAGCAGATGGTTAGTATAGCAGTGTATTGTTTAGTGTGTTTTTCATGTGATGAAGTATCTGTGGGGCTTTGATTTCATAAAGTGAAGCAAGTCATTGTTATGAAGAGCAATGAAAAACCTGGGAAATTGATGGAAGGGAAAAGTGAGTTAAAGAGAGAAGTGTCTGGATCTGAGGCATTGAGAACCATCAGGTTTTACTCCGTGCTTCCATCTGGAGATGTTCATAAAGGCAATTTGATTTCTACAACTTCCCAAGTGTTGAATTCCAGTGTGGTCTATGAACAGCCACATCATTTTTGCTAAAGCAATTCATTCCTCTTTTAATAACAGAATATTCATGTCTTATTCCGTCTCTGATCTTGTTGAAAGGGAGGCATTTTAAATTGTAACACTTTCGCTAACTTCCCAAGCATCTCCATTCTTGTTCTTTCAGTCTGTCTACAAGTACTTAATATTATTTTTCTCTGCACAGATCCAGTGCCCCACTTGCCAATTCATCTGGTGTTTCAAGTGCCACTCTCCTTGGCATGAAGGTGTTAACTGCAAGGAGTACAAAAAAGGAGACAAACTGTTGCGTCACTGGGCCAGCGAGATCGAGCATGGGCAGAGGAATGCCCAGAAGTGTCCAAAGTGCAAGGTGAGATGACCTTTTGGAAGAAAGGGAAGAAATGTGTACGTCTAAATGTAATTGAATAATATCCACGATATTGAAGTGAATCATATTTATGATTATCTGAACACAGGTATGGAGAAAGAGTATTTGCTGTTTCATTTTAGAAGAGAAATTGTATCATGTCTTAAACTTAACATTTTATATATAAACAAGGTATATTCTTATGAGTTATTATGTATTTGCATTACATTACAAAATTTAAGGAGACCACTTGAATTAATTTAAAACATCAAAATCTTTATTTTTTCTTTAAAAATTAAGAAGGAAAAGTTAATTTGGAAATGATATAAACATATCATTTCTAGCTTGCCACACTACTGTAATCCCTACCCAATTAATTATGCAGGYTTTGAATCCTTACCGTCCTTTGCTTTTCTTGTCCTTTGGCCATTGCATATCACTTTAGGATTACTTTAAATTGATCATTTCATTTCTTTGTATATTTCTTGAGATAGACACTAATACTCAAAATCAAGACTTATGGATTTTATGAATCCCACTTTAATTTCCCTCTTATAATGTTTCAAGTAATCAAGAGTTAATAGACATTTGAGCTGAAACCTGGATATTGAAAGTTAGCTATGCGAATAGCAAGGGAAGATCCTCTTAAAGAGAGATCACCAAGTAAATTCAGCCAAAACAACAAACAAACAAACAAAAACAAAACAAAACAAAACAAAGGTTCTTATAAGATAGGGATCTGTTGAAGTGGTTTTTTTTAACTTACTTTAGAAAATTTTATGTGTGTATATATGTACACTCTACTATATGTGGTTTTTATCTATTGCCAAATTTACTTTTGGTTATCATATCCAAATTGAGCTTAATTTTCTTTTAAGAGTAACTCTGCAATTCCTTCTTTCCTGGAGACTTAGAACAGATAAGTGAAATTCAAATTATCAGAAATACTTAAAATTTTAATAATTGTGAATACAATTTGAAGTAGTAAAAGTATTTTATAAATCCTATTATTGAGAATAATACTAATATATGGGTCTACTATTCCAAATTCACATACTGTTTTATAAATACCGTAAGTAAAATGTATAGCATGAAATGATAATGTTGTATTTTTGGCAATTGGAAGAAATTTTGAAATAGTTTAATTGAACCAGCTTTGTAAAAAGTGATGTGTAGAGATGTGTGAGCTAAAGCTTTGTCTGTTTTCCCTGTAGGAGGCAAATTCATTCCGTTATTTATTTATTTATTTAGGTCTATTTCAGCTCAGTGCATCGATTGTTCAGTACCCTTATATTTTTCATCCCATTGAAAAACATTTTAAGAGGAGGACCTTTTTCCTTTTTTCTTGCCTTTTGTGTTTATTTGAAGCTACTGCTCAGTTTTAAACCACAGGCTACTGGGAATTTGAGTGCTGTTAAGTCATTCTACTTAGCACTTTGCTCATAAGTATACTTTATATCTCCCTGGAAAACTGTAAAAAACAATTGCCAGTCAGCAGTTCTGGGATTATTCTCTGAATGAACAATACTGCAGCATTATGCCTTGAGGAAATTCTGATTGAAATGAAGTCATACATAAAAACATACGCTTATGACTTTAATCCCTTGATCTAACATTAAATCGACCCTCGTGTGTAAAAGAAAAAGCAATGAAACAAGAAATTTTCTGAGCACACGAATAACCTCCCACAGTTTTGACAAATATAGATAATCAGTTAAAAGAAAACCTGCATGCTGATTCCCTCTTGTAGAAATAGCTCCATGGTCTGGGCTTTAAGAAGAATTACCTTTTAAATAGAAGAAAGGAAAAGAGCCAGGGAATTCATTTACATGACTACATTGTAACTGAGAACCTGTTTTCTGGTCAAATTCACATTTATGAAATTTATATTCATCTAATTCATGATTTATGACGTGTTTTGAGTGCAAACTTTTTTTTTCTTTTAAGTGCAGCCTAAAAGATTTTGTTTATTCTGATTTTTGTTGTTGGACCTTAAAATTATGTTCCCCCCATGAAACATTTCTATATTTATGATAGAAATTGAGATAAAATTAATGAATTCATGTTTATTTTACTTGCTTAGGCTCTTTCCATAAATATATCTCTTAAAATTTATAAATATAAAAAAGGAAGATGGTAGGAGGGTTGGTAAAACAAAACTTTCATGTATTCTCTTCAGATGGGCAAAGCCATTGTTATTTATTTTCATATAAATGCTTTTAATATTAATAATCAAATATATGTAAAATTTTGTTGTGAGCAAAGTATATTTATATTTTTGTACCCTGCTATAGGTATATTATGTTTTAAATTCAAAATTGTAATGGATTTTTATTTTAAAATAATCATTTTATTTATAAAGGTTATAAAACATATGCTGGAAATTTGGGCAAAGAGGCAGAGTATTCAGTCCTGGACTTTAATCTACTCACTGTGTCAAATGGGGTTTTTGCCCCATTGGAATTACTTTTTGTAGTGTTTTATCTAAAATATGCCAATAATTTGATACATTAGTTTCTTCACTTAACAGCCCAAACAATTCTAAAGCCTTTTTCAGAACATTTCATTAACTGTGTAATATTTGTGTGAATATTTTACCTTTCTACACCACAGCTGGTTTAGGTTTGTGTCTGTATATAATGTGCTGATGATATTTATCTTGAATGTATCTTTTTTCCATGTTTTGAACCTCTAAAACATGCATAAAGGTAGAATTATTGGTTAAATATCAGTGCTTTTAGTTTKGGGCATGTACTGCCAATTTGCTTTCTAAAAGGAATGAAACAATTTGTAATTCTATGAGAAAAATTTTGAGAATTTGTTTCTGTGTGAACACTTCTTTAATTCTTTAAATTTAATAGTTTTAAAATGCATTGTTCTCACATTTTGCACTTTCTTATTTACTTATGAACTGAATATAAATATTCTTTTAAAATACAATATGTTTTGTAGTTTATAATGCAACCTTTTTAAAGTTTTCTGTTCATATCCTTTGCCTATTTATGTGGCCTAGATTGGGGCATAAATTTTATTATCAAATTATGTGAACTATTTATTTTAAAATGTTTTCTGGTGTATTTTATTTACATATTTTCCTTTTTACTCAGATGATAGTGTTTTTTGTTTGTTTATTTCTTTTTTTTACTTGATAGTCCTTATTTCTAGGTTAATCCTTATCTTTAGGCTTGCATATATATTTTTGAAATTTTTTCAAGTTTTTCTTTTACCATATATACCTTTCTCTTACCTTTTGGACACACACATATTTTTTTTATATATTTACAAATCTTTCATACATATTTTTCTTCTAAACTTAATTATTTATTATTCATATGTTTGATTATAAAGGTCTGTTTTCTTCCTGTCTTTAAGCCATTTGATTTCCAAATATTTGAACTCTTTAATTGGCCCATAATTTATTTTCGTGATTATTATACATTGAGTACTGAAACTAGTTTTTCCATCTTGGAATRGTTATTAAATAATTCTCCTACCAACTGATTTGTAATTTCTTTCTAAGCACATTTTAAGTTTTGATACATAAGAGTCTCTTTTCTTAGCTACTTAATCTTACTGCTAATTTTTCATGAAATTTATGTATCCATACTGATGAATTTTAAATGATTATGCCTTTGTAAAATCTGCCCATTCGGCTGGGGTTGTGACTCAGAGGTAGAGCTTTCACCTAGCAGGCATGAGGCATTGGGTTTGATCCTCCACAACACATAAAAATAAAGATATGTGTTCACCTATAACTACAAAATAATTATTTAAAAATTGCCCATTCAAGCAGAGTTTGATTATCTAAAAATTCATTTATTTGGTACTCTCAATAGAGTAACTCTTTTCTCTCCTTTACTTCTCCCATAATGAGATTTTTACCTTTTTCTAAAGTGGAAAGACCAATTTAATACTTGGTATGGTATTATTAAGAAATTAACTTGTGCTAAGAAGTCAAAATTAGTATTATAATTCATTTTTGACAGATAATAAGTTTTAAAAGTTTTTTTCTCACATTTATTAGAAAATTTATAAGTGTGTTTTTTTTCACATTAAGGTAAACATATACAAACATTTCTGGAATTTACCTATTTATAAAACATTTTATGAAAATTTTATGTTACTGTGTTAAGATCAACTTTGGTTAACATCTTTATTTGAATGCCAYTGCCTTCTAATACAGAATTTTCTTCAGTCAGTTACAAAATACCATTTGTTATCTTACAAATGATTTTTTATAAGATTTTTACTCTACAGAAAACCTGTGCTAATATTGAGTTTCTTTCTTATTTAGTTATCAACAAAACTAAATCTAGTTTATGAAATTTAATGTTTAAAATAAATTTAAAGAAAGTAAGGAAATTAAATTTTGTTGAAAATATGAAATATCTGTTCATTTTTACACACAAAATTCATTTTTAGACTATGTTTGATGAGATACTAAAATCTGAGTTAGATGCACACCTAAAAATAACAGTAATATACAAGATAAAACTATAAATACCATGTTCATAGCTTCATACATACTTAAACTTTAGCTTTTAATTATTATCGGAGTTATTATTTGTTAGTAATTTTTTGTGTGTGTACTGGACAGTGAATCCAGGGGCGCTTAACCACTGAGCCATATCCCCAAACCTTTTAATATTTTAAATTTTAAGACAGGGTCTTACCAAGTTGCTTTGGGTCTCGATAAATTGCTGAGGCTGGCTTTGAATTGCAATCCTCCTGCCTCAGCCTCTCAAGCCACTGGGAATTTGGGCATATGCCACCATGCTTGATTGAATTTTTTTTTAATTGTGGAAAATTCAATATTTTTTTAAATCATGGTWAAAATCATGTTATATGACTTAGGCTTACTATTTTCAAATGCAAATATGATTTTTAAAAATTTGTATTTCATTTGAAAATTTAAAAAAATTCCTCAACTAAAGTGCACAGTCATTACAATTGTCTTTAAAATATATATATGTTTTGGGTCCTGGAGATCTAACCCAGAGACA